TAATTTTAGCTACCATTCTGCAGTTTTAGCTAACCTTTTATGTATTTTTGCTACTCTTAGCTGCAGTTTTCTTAGTTTTAGATAGCGCTTTGCTTCTTTTATTTAAAGTAATACGTGACCTTATGCTACATTTAGCTACAATTCTACTTTTAACTTGTGTTACATTTAGCTACCAGCTAGTCTTTCCTTACTAACTAGCTACGTCTACTAGCTAGTTTATTAGCCAGTTAGTTTTAATATTTTAGCTAGCTGCTTAGTTTAATAATTTTTATGTAAATTTTTTACCAGTTTCTTTTAATTAGACTTTTGCTAGCTTAAGCTAAGCATTTGCTACTTATAGCTACCATTCCGCTCATTTTAGCTAGATAGTTGTGTTAGCTAGCTATGTTCTCTGTTTTGAAACAGCTAACTGTTCCCCATTTGAGGTGAAACAGTGGTACAGTCCGACCCGTTGCTCCCCCCTCTTGTGACGTCATAATGGTACGGTCCGTTTTTATAAAACAGACCGACGTTGAAGAAGCGGTCCTTTTACCTTCGATCCTCGAGAGTCAAGCTACCAGCTACCGAGAGTCTAATCTGTTTTTCTTGTTCCATCACCTAAAAAAGCAACGCAAGAAAATGGTAAGGATGATTATTTCAGGACTAAATGATTTTATTTGTCGAATTGGGAGAAAAGCGGATTGACGACTGCGTCGTGTCAAATTAGTTGTTTTTTTAATGCAGAACGTCTGTTTTAAATGGTATTTTCTAGTTTTTCTTCGACGTTAACACGGTTTTGGAGCTATTTAGTGAACAAAGACGTGAATTTTGTTAGACTGTAAGCCTAAATAAACCAGGTTTTATGAAATTTATTTCATTTTCATGTCCTTCGGTTTAAAAAAACGATTTAGTAGTATTTTAACCGACCCACTTCCGTTTCGGCGGTTAATTTGAAATGCCGTTTCGGGTTGCCGGTTCGGCTCTCGCCGGAAATATCCGAGCGGTCATGAAGCGCGATTTCCGCTTCGCCTCCTACGAAGGAGTTCGTTTGTGCTTCGTTTTTTGTTTGCGCGCCGTTTTTAAATCCGCTTTTGATCAAAACCAAAAGAGCTCAAGCTGTTTAAACCTGAACTCAACTGTTCAAGGATTAAAATGCAAACTGTAGAACATGCAGTGATTTGTAAACATTCTATAATCTGTGTTATTCTTTAGAAAAGCAACTTAAAGGCATTAAACAGTTAAATTGCTAAAACCCTAATTATTATATTTATAAAAGTAAAGAGGTCGGGGTTAGAAAAGGAAAAAAAAAAGTTTTTCTTGCATTTTTATTTTTATCTCTGCAGCGTGAATGCATCTCCGTCCATGTGGGCCAGGCTGGTGTCCAGATTGGAAATGCCTGCTGGGAGCTGTACTGCCTGGAGCACGGCATCCAGCCCGACGGCCTGATGCCTGCTGACGCACACCTCAGAGGAGGGGATGATTCCTTCAACACCTTCTTTAGTGAGACCGGAGATGGGAGGCACTTCCCCAGAGCCATCTTTGTGGACTTGGAGCCCACCGTCATCGGTACCCCCTCGTCCAGTTAGTCTTATTTCTGCTAAACGCTGCCTGTGTTGTTAATTCTAGTTGTGTTTTCTCCGTAGATGAGGTGCGCACTGGAACCTACCGCCAGCTGTTCCACCCGGAGCAGCTGATCACCGGTAAGGAAGACGCTGCGAACAACTACGCCCGGGGTCACTACACCATCGGAAAGGAGATCATCGACCCTGTTCTGAACCGCATCCGCAAACTGGTGTGTAAATTATCTAGCATAAACACTGATTGGCTCGTTTGTATTTGCTCTGTTTTTTTTTTTTAAAAGTTCGGTTCTTCTGTTTCATTTTTCTTTAACTACTTTCACATTAATTTTAGCAGAAAAAACTGCTTTTTTTTATGAAACCACAATGTATCATTAAAACCAAACATTTAGTTCTCCCTATGTCTCAAAAAAAAACAACCACTACAGACTGATGTCGCTTTTATTTTCTGATGATCAGTGCTTTGGCGTTTCTTTATAT